AACTCAAGCCCGCTTATGTTCGAAAACTCTTGCGCCTAGACAGTCACGGCGGACAGGTCCATGCGAATAGATGCACATATGGGGAGCTCCAAGCAGTGAATAAGTTCCCTGACCGCGCCGGACCCCTCATCATCATCCCTCCCCTCCCTCCTCCCTCTCTGCACTAGCCAGTGATGATGAGTGTCATGATGATGACCCTGGGATGGTGAGTATGATGTGAGTATGACGATGATGGTGAATGATGGATGAGTAGGGTGATGATGATGATGACGACGATGCTGCTGCTGATGATGATGAAGACGATGATGATGATGATGATGATGATGATGATGATGATGATGATGAGGATGAGGATGAGGATGAGGATGATGATGATGATGATGATGATGATGATGATGATGATGATGATGATGATGATGATGTTGCTGTTGTTGTTGATGATGATGATGATGATGGTGGTGGTGGTGGTGGTGACGATGATGATGTTGATGATGATGATCAGATGATGACGATGCCTCGAGCGGTTTGCTGGTTTTAGCTATCCTAAGGGGGGGCGCCAGGGGGTACCTCACGGCCTCTGTTCGCGCCAACATGGCGGAATGCCTCGAGCGGTTTGCCTGTTTTGGTCGCGAGCATCCTTCGTTTTCGGAGCAGATTTTGAGGATGTCTCGGGCGAGGCGCCTCCTAAGGGGGGGGCTGCCAGGGGTATCTCACGGCCTCCGTTCGCGCCCAGATTGCGGGGATGTCTCAGGCGGTTTGCCTGTTTTGGTCGCGAACATCCTTCGTTTTCGGAGCAGAGAGGCGCTCATTTTCGCACCCAGGGGGGCCCAGATTTTGAGGACGTCTCGATCGGTTTGCTTGTTTTGGTGGCCAGACTCGTGGGCTCATCTTTTGTCCAGGATGCCACAGGAGGCCACAGGAAGACTCAAGAGGCCACAGGATGTCCCAAGAGGCTCCAGGAGGCCCCAGGAAGCTCCAGGAGGCCTCAGGACGCACCAGGAGGCCCCAGGAGGCCACAAGAAGCGCCAGGAGCCTTCAGAAGGCAACAGGAGGCCCCGAGAGGCCCCAGGAGCAGGAGGCCTCAGAAGGCAACAGGAGTGGCTCCAATCCAATGTGTTTTACGTATGCTCCTATAGATTGGGCCTCACCCGGAGCACGAATCCTTGATGTTATACGTATTTTTCTATATATATATATATATATAGTGTCCTTCTCCTGTATATGCAACCCTAAATATTGTACGTATGTTCCTATAAATTGGGCCTCCCCTGGGGCACGAGTCCTTGGTGGTTTACGTGTGTTCTTATAGATTGCCCTTCTCCTGTGGCTCCAATCCGCAATGTTTATGTACGTCTGTTCCTATATATTGGGCCCCTCCTGGGGCACGAATCCTCCTTAGGAGGTCCCAGGAGGCTCCAGGATGCCCCAGGAGGCCACGCGAGGCTCCAGGAGGCCTCAGGAGGCCACTCGAAGCCCCAAGAGGCCCCAGGAAGCTCCAGGAGGTTTCAGGAGGCCCCTCGGGGCCCCAGGCTCATGCGCAGAAACGCGCTCGCACTACTGAGACTCATTCACACTCCAATTCATTCGCAGTTAGATTCATGACCAGACCCTCACAACTCAAGCCCGCTTATGTTCGAAAACTCTTGCGCCTAGACAGTCACGGCGGACAGGTCCATGCGAATAGATGCACATATGGGGAGCTCCACGCAGTGAATAATTTCCCTGACCGCGCCGGACCCCTCATCATCATCCCTCCCCTCCCTCCTCCCTCTCTGCACTAGCCGGTGATGGTGAGTGTCATGATGATGACCATGGTATGGTGATAGTCTGATGTGAATACGATGAGGATGGTGAATGATGGATGAATATGGTGATGCTGCTGATGATGATGACGCTGACGACGACGATGATGATGATGATGATGATGATGATGATGATGATGATGATGATGATGATGATGATGATGATGATGATGATGATGATGATGATGCTGATGCTGATGTGATGATGATTCTGATGAGGATGATGATGCTGCTGCTGCTGCTGATGATGATGGTGATGATGATGATGATGATGATGATGATTGATGATGATGATGATGATGATGATGATGATGATGATGATGATGATGATGATGATGATGATGATGGTGATGATGATGATGATGATGATGATGATGATGATGATGATGATGATGATGGTAGTGGTGGTGATGGTCATGATGACGATGTTCAGATGATTGCTGGTTTGCTGGTTTTAGCACTCCTAAGGGGGGCGCCAGGGGATATAACACGGCCTCTGTTCGCGCCAAAATGGCGGGGATGCCTCGAGCGGTTTGCCTGTTCTGGTCGCGAACGTCCTTCGTTTTCGGAGCAGATGTTGAGGATGTCTCGTGAGAGGCGCCTCCCAAGGGGGGGGCCGCCAGGGGTATCTCACGGCCTCCGTTCGCGCCCAGATTGCGGGGATGTTTCAGGCGGTTTGCTTGTTTTGGTTGCGAACATCCTTCGTTTTCGGAGCAGCTTCTGAGGATGTCTCGAGCGAGGCGCTCATTTTCGCCCCCTAGGGGGGCCAGACTTCGAGGATGTCTCGATCGGTTTGCCTGTTTTGGTGGCCAGACTCGTGGGCACACATTCTCCCCAGGATGCCACAGGAGGCTCCAGGAGGCCCCAGAAGGCCACATGAGGTCCCAGGAGGCATCAGGAGGCCACAGGAAGACTCAAGTGGCCACAGGATGTGCCAAGAGGCTCCAGGATGCCCCAGGAAGCTCCAGGAGGCCTCAGGAGGCCCCAGAAGGCAACAGGAGGCCCCGAGAGGCCCCATGAGCAGGAGGCCTCAGAAGGTAACAGGATTGGCTCCAATCCCAGGTGTTTTACGTATGCTGGGCCTCCCCCGGGGCACGAGTCCTTGTTGTTTTACGTGTGTTCCTATAGATTGTCCTTTTCCTGTGCATGCAATCCTAAATGTTTTACGTAGGTTCCTGTAGATCGGTCCTCCGCTGGGGCACGAATCCTTGTTGTTTTACGTGTGTTCCTATATATTGCCCGTCTTCTGCGGCTCCGATCCGCAATGCTTTATGTACGTCTGTTCCTATAGATGGGGCCTCTCCTGGGACACGATTCCTCCCTAGGAGGTCCCAGGAGGCTCCAGGATGCCCCAGGAGGCCACGCGAGGCTCCAGGAGGCCTCAGAAGGCCACTCGAAGCCCCAAGAGGCCCCAGAAGGCCTCAAGAGGCTCCTTGAGGCCCCAGGAAGCCCCAGGAGGAGGAGGAGGAGGAGGAGGAGGAGGACGAGGACGAGGACGAGGAGGACGAGGAGGACGAGGAGGAGGAGGAAGAGGAGGAGGAGGAGGAAAGGGGGGAGGAGGAGGAGGAGGAGGAGGAGGAAGAGGAGGAGGAGGAGGAGGAGGAAGAAGAGGATGAGGACGGGGAGGAGGATGATGATGATGAGGAGGAGGAAGAAGAGGAAGCCTAATAATAAGAGGAAGACGAGGAAGAACACGAATACTAACAAGAAGAGGACGCATACTAATATTATTAATGCTAAGGTCAATAATAATATGACTACTATTCCGAATACTAATAATACGAATTGTAATACGAAGAACACGGCTGATACCACAACTAACACTAACACCACCAATCATAATATTGATACTCGTACGACTACGAAGAATACTTATACCCATCACAAGGAGAAACGGACAAGACTACTACTGCTACTATTACTGACACCAATCGTAATACTGATAATACTACTAGTAAAACGACTGACCACCATGAAAACAACAATAACACGACCAATATTAGTGATACTACTCATACGAAGAAGACAAAACATCTTACTACACATACCCTTAGTCGTATTAATAATATTGCCACTGTCAATAATAATGATATTACCAGTGCTGCTACTAATAATAACAATGCACATGTTACTGCTAGTAATACTGCTACTACTAATGCTCATACGAATACTGATAAGCCTAATACTAATAGTACGTACGCTAAAAATATTTTTTCAGAATAATAACACTAATAATACAACAACAGCTAATACTATTATTAACAATATTAATACTAATAAAAAGACGAATACTACCAATACTAACAATACTACCAATACTACCAATACTAATGATACTGCTGATAATCACACTGACATCAAGAAGAGGAGGAGGAGAAGGAGGAGGAGGAGGAAGGGGAGTAGTAGGCGGAAGAGGAGGGAGGAGGAGGAGGAGGAGGAGGAAGAGGAGGAGGAAGAGGAGGAGGAGGAGGAACAGGAGGAGGAGGAGGAGGAGGAGGAGGAGGAAGAGGAAAAGGAGGAGGAGAAGGAGGAGGGGGAGGAGGAGGAGCATGAGGATGAGGAGGAGGAGGAGGAATAATAATAAGAAGACGAACACTAATACTGATAACACGATTATTAGTAAAACTAGCAATACTACGATTACTAGTACTAATAATCGTAGTATGAATAGTATGAAGAAGAATACGACAACGAAGACTACTACTATTATGAATAAAGCTAATAATAATACTACTAATCATAATACTAAAAATACTAATACTAATACTACTAATAATTATGATAATAATATCAATAATAATAATAACACTATAATAGTACTAAGCATAAGATAAGAAGACTACTACTAATACTACGAGTAATACTAATATTGATAAGAATAAGAATGCTTCTAATACGAATGCGAATAATAATACTATTATTAAGAAGAAGAGTGCGAATCTTTATAATACTAAGAATGAACATGATAACACGAATAACATTAACAATAATACGAATAAGAAGAATGTGAAGAAGAGGAGGGGGAGGATAATGAGGAGGAGGAGAAGGAGGGGGAGGAGGAGGAAACGGAGGAGGGGGCGAGGTGGAGGAGGAGGAGGAGGAGGAGGAGTAGGGCGAGGAAGAGGCGGATGGGGGAGGAACCGCATCCCGCCCGTCACCGCCGCCGCTCTCCTCTCCGTCCGCCCGTCGTGTTGGCCCAGGGCAGCCTCAGCGGGCGAGCGGGCGCGCGCGCGCGCACGGCTTCGCGCCAATGCCAGTGGCAGCCGCGGCCCAGGCCAAGCCCGCAGCCGCGACTGGCGAAGTCGAACTCTCGAGGTCATCTCCGATGCTCCAGGTCTCCCCAAAAGCTGTCCGAGTAGATGGGGTCGGAGGATTGCACCGCATTGTCGATGCATCGGCGATATGCGTCGATGTGGAGCCCGACTTTCTCCACGCCGACGGCGCCGATGCATCGGCGATGCGGCGCGATCCTGCGATCCCGTTTACTCGGACCCCATCTAGCAGGCCTCTGTCGGGGTCATATCAGATGCTTTGCAGGCGACTTCTGTTCCCCACTCCCCGAGTCTCCCTCCGAAAGCTGGCGGTTTAGAAGAGAGGGGGGCTCGTGGATGCATGCCTGGGGGGCTATTCGGACGCACCCTTGTGGAGGATGGGCGCCCCCCTCATCGTACATTCCCGAGCTACGCCCGAATCTACGATCCAGTCGAAGGCCTCACAAGGTGGGGCATGAGGGCCGCTATGCCTCCGTCAGTGTTCAGCATGGAGACCAGCGAGGTGTCCCAGAAGGAGGGCCCTGGGAGCTGTCAGAAGGCGTCGCTCGGGATGGGGCGCTGGTCCTGGGGGATGCCCTGGGGTCCAGGACATGCTTCCGCACAATCCACCGTTTCAGGTTCCGGAATCACCTGGAACCGTTCCGGGGTGTTTCTGGAAGCTTGACACCGTTTCAGGTTCCAGAATCACCCTGGAACCGTTCCGGGGTGAAAACCCATCTGGGGCCATTTTGAGCTCCTTCCAGAAGGCTTTTCTGATTTCCTTAAAGAAGGCCTTACTGAGCTCCTTACGGAAGGTCTTATTGAGCTCCTTACAGAAGGCCTTCTTGAGCTCCTTACAGAAGGTATGATTGAGCTCGAAGGCCTTCTTGAGCTCCTTACCGAAGGCCTTATTGAGCTCCTTACAGAAGGCCTTCTTGAGCTCTTTACAGAAGGCCTGATTGAGCTCCTTACAGTCACGACAACGAAAGAGTCCTGAATCAGAAATCTCATTTGGAAAATTGCCATTTTGGAAGCTCGGGTACACCCCCCCCATCCCCGAGCTGGGAGAGGGTTCCAGATGGATTTTCACCCTGGAGCGGTTCCGGGGTGAAAATCCATTTGGAACCTCCCGACGCTGAGCGGGAGGGCCCAGCCGCGAAAAACAAGCTCCCCGATAAGACTTGTCATTTGGAAAATTGCCATTTTGGGGTCTCGGGTGCACCCCCCACCCATCCCCGAGAGAGCCGTTTTGCGCTGGGAGAGGGTTCCAGATGGATTTTCACCCTGGAACGGTTCTGGGGTGAAAATCCATCTGGGACCTCCCGACGCTGAGCGGGAGGGCCCAGCTGCGAGAAACAAGCTCCCCAATGAGCGATTTCATGTGGAAAATTACAATTTTGGGGGCTCGTGTACACCCCCCCCCGTCCCCGAGAGAGCCGTTTTGCGCTGGGAGAGGGTTCCAGATGGATTTTCACCCTGGAGCGGTTCCGGGGTGAAAATCCATTTGGGTCCTCCCGACGCTGAGCGGGATGGCCCATCCGCGAAAAACAAGCTCCCCAGTATGAAATTTCATTTGGAAAATTACCATTTTGGGGGCTCGGGTACACCCCCTCCCTTCCCCGAGACAGCTGTTTTGCGCTGGGAGAGGGTTCCAGATGGATCTTTACCTTGGAACGGTTCCGGGATGAAAGTCCATCTGGAACCTCACGACGCTGAGCGGGAGGGCCCAGCGCGAAAAACAAGCTCCCCGATAAGACATTTCATTTGGAAAATGGCTGTGTTGGGGGCTCGGGTACACCCCCCCCATCCCCGAGACAGCCGTTTTGCGCTGGGAGAGGGTTCCAGATGAATTTTCACCCTGGAATGGTTCCGGGGTGAAAATCCATTTGGGACCTCCCGACGCTGAGCGGGAGGGCCCAGCGCGAAACACAAGCTCCCCGATAAGAAATTTCATTTGGAAAATTGCCATTTTGGGGGCTCGGGTACACCCCTTCCATCCCCGAGAGAGCCGTTTTGCGTTGGGAGAGGGTTCCAGATTAATTTTCACCCTGGAACGGTTCCGGGGTGAAAATCCATCTGGGACTTCCCTGGGCGGGAGCACCTAGACGGCATCATTGTCATCATCATCAGAAATACCACCATCGCCACCATCATCGGCATCCTCCTGCACAACCACTACCATCATCACCATCATCACCACAATCAACACAATCGTTGTTACCATACCGTCATAGACATAATCCGTGTCACCCTCGCCATCGTCAACACCAACACAGCCAGCATCACAGACACCACCATCGGCATCAGACCCATGTTCACCATCGGAAACATAATCACAGTGGCGATCGTCAGTGTCACCATCGTCGCCACCATGGTTATCACCGTGCTCGGGGAGGTTGCAGGCCGGCGGGAGGTGCAAGAGGGAGCTAACTTACGGAGAGGACGGGACGGATTACGATGAAACGTACCAAAGCATCACCAGAGACGTCACGCCAACATGGAACGTGACAGCAGTAACAACAACATTAACATCACCAACAACAATAACAGCAACAACAACAGCAGCAACAAAAACAACCACAACCACAACAACGACACCACCACCACCAAGAACAACAACAGGAGGTAGATAAGGCGAAACAGGAGGAGGAGGAGGAAGAGGAGGAGGAAGTGGAGCGAGAGCAAGAGAAGGAGGACGATGCGGGAACCGAAGGGACGGCACCAATGCCGCATGGGATGTCCGCGAACTTCAGCCCCGCGGACGTGGATGGAGGAGAAAGAGGAGGAGGAGGAGAAGAAGAGGATGAGGAGGATGAGAACTCCGAGGTGCAGGAGGAGGGAAAACACATAACCAAGATAATGGAGAGGAGGAGGAAGAGGAAACGCAGAATAAGGAAGAGGAGGAGTCTGTAAGAAGAGGAACGGGGGGAGGAGGAAGAGGATGATTCAGATGGTGAACATGATGATGCAGATTATGATGGTAGGATGAGGATGATGATGAGGATGATGACGGGGAAGATGGTGATGCAAAGAAGGAGCAACGATGTTGCAAGAAACTCCCCCGCCAAGTTCCCTGCTCAGAATGTATCCCCATGAACACCTTCATCATCAACATCGGCATCAGCGGCGTTGTCGGCATCACTGTCATCATCACCAGAAAGACCACCATCGCCACCATCATCAGCTTCTTCCTGCACAACACCACCACCATCATCACCATCGTCACCACTATCAGCACCATCGTCGTCACCATACCGTCATAGTCCTAATCCGAATCACCACCGTCATTGTCAACACCAACACAGCCAGCATCACAAACCATCATTGCCTTGCACACAACACCACCGTTGCCACCATCATCAACATCCTCCTGCACATCATCATCATCATCATCATCATCATCATCATCATCATCATCATCATCATCATCATCATCACCACCACCACCACCACCTTCATCATCATCATCATCATCATCACCACCCACCATAACCCTCATAGTCTTTAGCATTGTCAACATCGCCATCATCACAACCAGTGCCGCCAAAACCAGTACCGTCAACATCACGAACATCCATCTGGGGCCTCCCGACGCTGAGCGGGAGGGCCCAGCCGCGAAAAACAAGTTCCCCAGTAAGACATTTCATTTGGCAAATGATAATTTTTGGGGGCTCGGGTACACCCCCCCCATCCCCGAGAGAGCCGTTTTGCGTTGGGAGAGGGTTCCAGATGGATTTTCCTTCTGGAGCGGTTCCGGGGTGAAAATCCATTTGGGACCTCCCGACGCTGAGCGGGAGGGCCCAGCCGCGAAAAACAGGCTCTTCATTTGGAAGCTGATAATTTTTGGGGGCTCGGGTACACCCCCCCATCCCCGAGAGAGCCGTTTTGCGCTGGGAGAGGGTTCCAGATGGATTTTCACCCTGGAACGGTTCCGGGGTGAAAATCCATTTGGGACCTCCCGACGCTGAGCGGGAGGGCCCTGCCGCGAAAAACAAGCTCCCCGATCAGACTTTTCAATTGGAAAGTGGCCATATTTTGGGGGCTCGGGTACACCCTCCCCCATCCCCGAGAGCCATTTTGCGTTGGGAGAGGGTTCCCGATGGAGTTTCACCCTGGAACGGTTCTGGGGTGAAAATCCATCTGGGACCTCCCGACGCTGAGCGGGAGGGCCCAGCCGCGAAAAAGAAGCTCCCCAGTAAGAGAATTTCACGTGGAAAATTGTTATTTTGGGGGCTCGGGTACACGCCTCCCATCCCCGAGAGAGCCGTTTTGCGCTGGGAGAGGGTTCCAGATGAATTTTCACCCTGAAACGGTTCCGGGGTGGAAATCCATCTGGGACCTCCCGACGCTGAGCGGGAGGGCCCAGCCGCGAAAAACAAGCTCCCCAGTGTGACATTTCATTTGGAAAATTGCCATTTTGGGAGCTCGGGTGCAACCCCCCCATCCCCGAGAGAGCCGTTTTGCGCTGGGAGAGGGTTCCAGATGGATTTTCACCCTGGAACGAGACCTCCCGACGCTGAGCGGGAGGGCCCAGCCGCGAACAACAAGTTCCCCAAGAAGAAATTTCATTTGGAAAATTACCATTTTGGTGGGTTCTGGGGCTGGGAGAGGGTTCTGGGGCTGCCTGGGGGCCTCGTGGGGGCCTCTTGGAGCCTGTTGGGGGCTTCTTGGGGGCCTCTTGGGGCCTCCTTTGAGCCTCTCGGGGCGGAGGGCTCGACATGTCTGTTTTTTCTCCTGTCTGGGCACCCTCTTGGAGCCCTCTTGGGGGCCTCTTTGGCCGTCTTGCAGGCGTCTTGGGCCGTTCTCGGGCCCTCTTTGACCCGTTTCGGGACCCTCTTGGGGGCCTCTTGGGGCGATCGTTGGAGCCTCTCGGGCGGTTTTGGAGCTGAAACTCCAGCGGACGTGGTTTTAAGTAGTCGGCAGACCTCAATTCCTCTTGTTTTTCGGCCTTTTTTTCTTTCAGCGTATTCAGACTTATTGATCGAATTGAGCTTTACCGAATACCTTGCCTCCGGCAGGGGGTCCGTGTGAAGCCAGACTTTCACGTGCCTTTCCGGATCTCAACATATTTGATTATAGTGTTCGTATTTTCTGGCGCGCAGAGATGAGTCAGAAGCTGGATTGTTGTTATTTCCGAGTTTTGTTTGACAGAGGCCCATCTTGATGTTCATGTCCTAGTCTCTCCGGTTTCGCATTCATATCTTACAGAGACAGAAACATTCACGGCGGCGGAGTCGCCATTTTTGTTGTTGATGCCTTTGCAGACGTTGTACTTCCAGTGTTCCAGTCGGAAGTCGCAGAAAGAGTTTGGGTTGCAGTGCGCAGTCACGCCGGTTCTCTTTTCTTAGCATGTTGGTATGGCCCCCCTCATTACAGCGATGTGGAATCGATTACCAGCTTAGGGTTCGAGTGGGGAAACATTGAAATGTCTCATGTCGGAGATATGAACGTGCACCACGTGCAGTGCTTTGAGTATTCGATACGCACCACACCCGCCCGCATCGCTCTTCGGTCCTTGGCTGAGGAGCACGGTCTCCAGAGCGTGCAGTGCACCTCGCGCTATTACCCGTGCTGCTCGATGTACGGTTGGCATTAAGTCCGCTGCTGCATCGGTACCCTACCAATCAATTCGGTCGGCGCTACTGCAGTCTTTCGGTGCAGCCCGGGCGTGTCATTGACATTGGCCTCTCTTGGTGGCGTGGCTAGCCACCGAGGATTTTACCGCAGAGCTCCATTAGGCTGGGTTCGGCCCCGCATGCACATGCTTCCACGTATGTCGCGTGTTTCGCGTCCATTAAACGATGCAGCTTTTTACCTAACAGCGAAGACTGATAGGTTTCTAGTGGTGTCAAAAGAGAGCAGCAGATGACTCCACAGGGGGGTCGGGGCGGGACCCGGGGCGGCTGCCGCCGAAGCCCAAATCGCTTGGGACATCCTAGCAAAATCGCCCTTGGCGCTGCTAGAACTCCATTCCCGGTGTACATTTTGGATGCCCGGAGCCAACTGTAGGCCACTTCGTGGTCTTCGAGTTCCCAGAACTCCATTCCCAGCGTACATTTTGGATGCCCGGAGCCAACTGTAGGCCACTTCGTGGTCTTCGAGTTCCCAGAACTCCATTCCCGGGCCACATTTTGGATGCCCGGAGCCAACTGTAGGCCACTTCGTGGTCTTCGAGTTTCCAGAACTCCATTCCCGGGCTACATTTTGGGTGCCCGGAGCCAACTGTAGGCCACTTCGTGGTCTTCGAGTTCCCAGAACTCCACTCCCGTCACTGCTACTTTTACTGCTACTACTACTGTTGCTGTTGCTGCTGCTGCTGCTGCTGCTGCTCCTGTAGGTATTGCTACTGCAACTACTGGCAATGCCATTGCGACTGCGACTGGGACTGATGTTGCCACTGCGACTGCCACTGCGAATCCGAATGCGACTGCGAGAACAAAAAAATTCTACACCAGCACTCCTACATGAATACCATAGGCAATGCTTCCAGCTATGCTTTTACACATCGCTGTTAGGTTGCTTTGCCGGGATAATTATTTTCGGGGTTGTGTCAGGTTCTTTTGCGTTGTTGGCCCGTATACCTACTGCTTCGCAGGACCTCTGTGCACGGCGTTGTGCCCCAGCGGTTGCAGTTTCTTTTGCGCTTCGCAGCATAACGCCGTCGTGTCAGTGATCCACTGGCCGCGAATTCTCACCGGACTGCTTGCGCTTCACATTACTTTGAGTTGAGTCGCCTTTAAGGTTGTGTGGCCGTTGCACGTACTGTGTAGATTTACAGCTCCTCCTTTACACCAGCTATCGCTGCCGTTGCATGTCTTCGACAGCGTTCGATCTCAATCCGCACTTCCATCTGCTGTTCGCGCGTGAGGAGCCTTTGCGCCGCCGGCTTTACAAGTGTGTGTGTGCGCGCGTGTGTGTATGTATGTATGTATGTATGTATGTATGTATGTATGTATGTATGTAATGTAATGTAATGTAATGTAATGTAATGTAATGTAATGTAATGTAATGTAATGTAATGTAATGTAATGTAATGTAATGTAATGTAATGTAATGTAATGTATGTATGTATGTATGTATGTATGTATGTATGTATGTATGTATGTATGCATGCATGCATGCATGCATGCATGCATGCATGTATGTATGTATGTATGTATGTATGTATGTAGGTAGGTATGTATGTATGTATGTATGTATGTATGTATGTGTGTGTGTATGTATGTATGTATGTATGTATGTATGTATGTATGTATGTATGTATGTATGTATGTATGCATGCATGCATGCATGCATGCATGCATGCATGTATGTATGTATGTATGTGTATGTGTGTGCCCACACTTTTTGCAATTTCGGCGCCCCAGGGCGTGTTTCAGGCCCACGGGGCCACGACAGCACGATCCCGCACGAGAAACAAAAACGGGGTGATGGGGTCGAGGGTTCCGGGGGTTCACGTCATGCAGACTTCACGACTCCCGACGTTTGGGCCCCTTCCTCATGTCCTTGAGGATGTTTTGGGCAATGTGCGGCGCATTTTGTTTCGTCCCCCTCCCCAGTCCGACCTCGCTGGCCCGTTGAGATGCCCCTGGGCCTCTGGTCGGGGAGCGCCAACTGCACGTACGCCGAACTGTGTTCTTGTAGGGACAACCGTGGGCCCAGGACCGGTCACGCCGCCAACCCTGGGTCCAAGCGAGTCCCATCTTCGGCCAGTGCCAGGATGGCGCATGCAATGTCCTTGGGCGCAAAGGTTGGCGCGGCCAAGGCATGTGCTGGTACTTCCAAGGTTGCGGGCCGCCGATTTTGACAGAACGCGCCTCGGCGCGACATGTTCAGCACGGCCCAGCCCCCACGCATCGACGTTCCGAGATTTTCCCGGCTTTCAACGTGCAAGGCACAGCATGTCGAAGGACCGCCACTGCGACCCGCCGGGCGGCCGCTCCCTTCGATGCCCCCCGAAAGCCCGCAAACGAAGCAAGCCAGCGCCCCCCCCTGCCTGCAGGCCTGGCAGGACGCTGCCGCGGGCGGCCCTGCTCCGCTCTGGGGCCTCTGCGGCGGTGGCGGCTCGGCGGCCTCGGACGCCGGTCGTGTCAGAAAGGGCCGCGGCCGAGTCGTCTGACGGATTCTAGGGTCGCTGCCGCCTTTGCCGTCGCCGTCGCTAGTGCCGCCGCCGTGGCCGCCGTCGCCGTCGTCACCATCGGCATTGCCGCTGCCGCCGTCATCGCCGCCGCCGCTGTCGTCGCCCGTCGCCCGACGTCACCGCCGTCGCCGTCGCTCCATCGACGCAGCGAATTGCAAAAAATCGTCGCTTTCATGTTTTCAAGACGCCAGAGACTTCGCCGCCGCCCGCTCGCCGCCACTGTCGCCGCCGCTGTCACCGGAGTCGCTGCCGCCCCCTCGTCGCCGTCTCTGCTGCCGCCGCCGTCGCCGCTGCCGTTGCCGCTGGCGTCGTCGCCCCTCTGTCGCTGGCGTCGCCGCCGCACCGTCGCCCAGGACGCCCCCGCGCAGATGGCCGGGTTCAGGGGCGGGCGCGGTGCGGCCGCGCCCGGGGGCGCCGCCGCCGCCCTCGTCACGGGCTCCCGGCGCCGGCGGCCCAGCGCGTTCTCCGAGAACCAGGACGGGGGGGTCCGCCCAGGTCCTAGGATGGTTTTCGTTGCGCTGGTGGCTCCGAGCGGCTTTTCACTGCCCCGGCTGGGTTTCCCGTGTGGAGGTCTGGCCCTGGAGAGGGCCAGCGGCTTCCTTGCGTCGCGAAGTGATCACGGCGGGAGGCTTGTGGCCGTTTGACGGGCTCAGGGGGCCGTTGCCGGGCCCAGGGGCTGTCGATAAACGAGCTGGGATGACAGGCCGGCCCTGGGGAATCAGGATCGTTTAACCGACCCCCATCCCGAGGATTGGGGCTTGAGTCCCGCCCTCCCTGTTGGCGTTCCCTTTTTGTGGCCGCAGACGGCTCCAACATGGTCCCAGACGGCCCACGGCGGCCTCCAGGGCCGTGCCAACATGGATCCGCTTCTGATGGACCTCTGAGGCCTGAAGATGGCCCCAAGATGGCCCCAAGAGAGCCCCAAGAGGAGGTCCTAAAGGGTCCAATTCGGCCCGAAAAGCTTCCACGAGATCCCCAAACTCGTTTTAATAAGGCTCCAAGAGCAGAGTTTCGGGCTCGGTACAAGGCTAACTAATCAGAGACCCCCCCTTCACTCAAAGCCCAACTGTCAGGACAGCTATTTGTTTCTAGTTGATTTTGGCTTATCAGGGATATCCTTGGGATTCGTTTGGTCATGATGACTCGAATGTGGCTTCAACCCCCTCTTATGGCTTCCAAGATGACATGTCGCATTCTGGTCCAAGTGGCCTCCAGCATGCCTCCAAGAGGGCCCAAGACGGCCCAGAGATCGCCTCGGAGCTGCCCAAGGACGCGCCTCCCACGATCGCACAGGAGAGCCCTGAGAGCGTCCCAAGACCGCTGCATGAGACGATTTTCGAGCTCCAGTGGGGCAGCCCTGATCAGGCCCCCCACCCCTTTTCGATCGGTGTCCCGCAAGACGACCCCAATGGAGCCTCCAAGGCTCCCAAGAGAGCCCGCTCAGAGAGCCCCAAGGCTTCCAAAATGAGCGTACCAACGTCGCCCCGAGAAGCCTCCAACAGGCTCCCAAATCGAGCGAACCGTGAACGCCTTTCTGGTTGACTCCTGGGTCTGATCAGGCTCGTCCCGATCTTTGGTTTGACGACTGCCTCCTCGAACCGTGGGGAGGGCCCAGACCACCGACGTCGTCGCAACGTGGACCTCCAGAGGCCGGGACCCCTTCATACCCCTTCCCGAATTTTTTGTCGGCCACAAGGCCTGGTGAAGGCTCACAGAGGTCGGCAATTGGCAAAACCTTTCGTCCTGACGAGGACTGGGATGAGGGGGGGGTCTGCGGATGAGGAGGAGGAGGAAGTCTTGGGATGACGATGATGATGATGACGATGACGGCGACGACGACGACGACGACGACGACGACGACGACGATGATGATGATGATGATGATGATGATGATGATGATGATGATGATGATGATGATGATGGTGATGAGGATGAAACTTGTGATGCTGATGGTGATGATGATGAGGATGCTGATGATGATACAGATGACTATGATGATGGTGATGGATGGTGGTGGGCATGATTATGATATTGGTGAAGCTGGTGCTGATGATGATACTGATGATGACGATGATGCTGATAATGATGATGCTGACGATGATGATGATTGTGGAAGCGATGCTGATGCCGATGACGATAAGGCTGCTCATGATAATGAGGATGCTGATGATGATGGTGATGAATATGATGATGATGCTGCTGACGATGATGATAATGATGATGATGATAATGATGTTGATTATGCTGATGTTGATTATGATGATGATGATGATGATGAGGATGATGATGGCGATCTGCTACAGGTGATGATGCTGATGATGGTGGTGGTGATTCATGATGATCTTGATGACGACGATGACGATGCCGATGCCGATGACGATGATGATGATGATGATGATCATGATGATGATGATGATGATGATGATGATGATGATGATGATGATGATGATGATGATGATGATGATGATGATGATGATGATGATGATGATGATGATGATGATGATGATGATGATGATGATGATGATGATGATGATGATGATGATGATGTCGATGATGCTGATTCTTATGATGATGATGATGAAGAAGAAGAATCAGAAGAATAATAGTAACCGTAATACGAAGAGGGTCGTTGTAAAGTCAAGACGTACCATCGATGTTGCAGTAATCTCTCCCTCCAAGTTCCCTCTTCATAGGTCCCTTCAAGAATTAGTTTTCATTGCGGTATGTGCCCTTGTGGAAGCCCATTCGTTGAGAATCTGTAATCTTGCCCAAATTCACGAGTCCTGGGACGCAATGCCGCGAATCACCATGATTGTTGCGTCCTGACGATCTAGAATTGTGCCAAAATCCCATACCTGGGACAACACCGCGAATCGACGTGACGGCTGCGTCCTGACAGTCCCAAATCGTGCCAGAACGCCACTCCTGACATTTTAACCCTACGAATCTTTGAATCAGGTGCAAGCTGTTAAGACGAATATGCGCAAGCGACAGCCACATTTTCAAAAGGATTTGCCCTCCATCCTAGGAACTTTGCGAATTGTGGACACGAAAGTGCGCGGCGCTCCGGCGAGAGCCACATTTTGGTAAGGAGCCGTCCCCCATCCATGAGGCTAGTGCGCTCTTTTGAGACCAGTGTGCGCGGCACCACGGCGCGAGCCTTTCTTTGAGAAGCGGCCGCCCTCCATCCGCGAAGCTCAAGCAATCTTTTCAGACGAATGCGCGCGACGCAACGGCGGGATCCACGCTTTTAAAACGGCCCGCCCTCCATCCGCGAAACTGTTGGAACTTTTAAGCTTGAAGGTCGTAGCTAGTCAGGAAGTCTTCGGCGAAACGCCCGGCCCGACCTACAGGCACGGGTCGGGGTGCCACAGGGGGAGTTTCGGTCGGACCACGGTATAAGATCGAGGTCGGTTCGGGGAGGGTGCCCTGATGTTCTTCGTGCTTGCTGGATGTTCTTGCGCGTCATGGTGAGGGTACCCTTGGATGTTCTGTGTGTTTTGGCAAGCGGAGGGTCTCATGTTCTTGAAGGATGTTCTTCTGTCCTAGGTCCGACCGTATTCATAAGGAATGGAGCGGGGGAAGCGGAGCGACGGCGGCTACCGCTCAGCAGATCCTCTCGGACGCCAGGAGACCGTGTGCCCCGAGGGCTTCCGGTGCATCTCCCGGGTGGGCCGGTTCGGCTACGGGCACAGCGGCAAGGCTGGGCGGTCTGGGGGAGAAGGGGGGGGGGAACGTGGAGGAGAGGGAGGAAGCAAGAGGATTCTGGCGGATTCTGCTGCCTTGCCACTCGCGCGGCCCCCCTCGGTCACTGCCTCCACTGTCCTCGGGCACGCACACGTCCTGCTGCTGCGGCCGCTGCCCCGCGCTGCTGCGGTCGGCCTGCGCTCGTGCAGTCACCAGCTCGGGAGCGAGCAGTCGTCACTCGGGGCGGCGGCGGCGGCAGCGGCAGAGGCGGCGGGCGGTGCCCCGGCGGAGGGGCCTCGTCGGCCGACGTCAGCTCGGCCATGGCGCTCGGGTGGCGATCGGCCGAGCTGCGCAGGTGCTCACGGAGAGGACTCGGGACACGCGAGGCCTCACCCAGGCAGCGAGCACCATCCTCGGGGGAAGCCTGAACCGTGCGCCTTACTGCATCGCACGCCTGAGCCGCCAGCAAGGATCTCGGCGGGCCACGATGCGAGGGGAAAAGACCCTTCTGAGCTCGCTTCAAATTCTCCCCCCCTTTCTTGGTGGGGGACGCACTCATTCAGTAGCCTCCTGCCATCGGAAGTCGCAGTGAAGTTACATCTCATACAAAAAGAAGTGCAAACGAATTCACCCTGGCAAGAGAGTGGGAAGGGTGGAGCATCTCACCGCCCATCCACGCTTCCCCCTCGACCGCCCCGAAGCCCTCACCATACTCAGAAGGTACCCCCCGAACTTAGGCCGAGTCCAGTACGCTTGCGACAAGTCACGGATCGGGACATGGGGTCGAGGCGGCCTTCGAGACCTTGCACTGAGGGAGAAACACATGACACCGCTCACATCTCCATCGTCTAACAAAAGGAAGGAACATGTGTTGGCTGGACTCCAGGGCTGAGCAAAGTTTGTTCTTGCGTGGCTGCTTGACGGCATGAGCTCACTCTCCGACCCAAGGTTCAACCTCAAGCGCCATCAGCAAGGCTCGCCTAGCTCTGCATCTCACCATCGCCACCGTCGTATCCCAAAGGTCAGTCGAGGGAGGGGGGACACACCGACCCAGGCCCAATGGGCCGCGACCCCCGCCGAGACGTCGGCGCCGGCGTTCCCTTGGCAGAGCAAGGCATCAAAATCTGTGGTTACCGACTGCAAATGCTCCTCTTGGTGAGGGGCCGACGTTGCGAAGCAAAGGTCGCGTTCCAGCACCCTCAGATTGGCTGAAGTGTGTTGATTGAGGCGCCGGCTGTTGCGATCGTTTTTAGGCCATGCAGGCATGCTTCCCGTGACTCTCCGAGGGCCCTTGCCAGCATGACCGACCTCGCCAGCTGCCCCTCGCCGGCGGAGCTGAAGAGCCGAGCCCCTCTGCCACGAGTTCGGGACAAGCCAGCTGCCCAGAACGAGTGGAACGATTACTCCTTATCGACGCAGTTGGGCACGCTATTGATGTAAGTACTCTGACGCAGTTCGGAGAGCATCGATCGTCCAGAGCAAAGAAACCTCCTCAGGGCCCCGAGCTCCCAAGGCACGCGAGGCACGCACCCAAAGGTCACCGTAGGAGGAAGGTGCGATGAAGAGGAGGAAGACGAGGAGGAGGAGGAGGAGGAGGAGGAGGAGGAGGATGAGGAGGATGAGGAGGAGGAGCAGGAGGAGGAGGAGGAGGATGAGGAGGATGAGGAGGAGGAGCAGGAGGAGGAGGAGGAGGTGGAGGAGGAGGACGAGGGAGACTGGGGCAGGAGGGGAGAAACAGGTGATTCTGGGATGGGAGGAGAGAGAGGATGTGTAAGGAGGGAAGAGTGGCAGGACGGTGTGCAGAAGGGAGATGATGATAGAGGGAGGAGGGCTAGGCTCACGGGCAGATTTGGGGGAAGGGGGAGGTGGGAGATGATGAGGATGGGGAGGCTCAGAGGACGAAGGCGGAGGAGTGGGAGGGCCAGAGTGAACCCAGTACGCACTATTGATGCTGCAGTGCCCCTTCCCGTCCCGCGATCCCCTCATCATCAACAAGCGCACGTCTCTCTCTCTCTCTCTATCTCTCTCTTCTCACAGAGGGGATCACTGGCCGGAGCGGCAAAGGTCACGTGGCCCTTCACGGTGCGATCCCATGTTAGGTGCCATCGAAGTACGCACGCATTCCGTCCATGCAGCTGGTAGGGGGGGGGCTCAGGTAAGCTGTGCGTGTCGCCAGAGCGGGAGCACGAATTCTGGAAAGGAGCCATCTTTCGTCTGTGCAACGGCCTGTGTTGTTGTTGTTGCCCTGTAGCCAGGCAGTCTCAGGAAGCATTGGGCCATAGCTCGGTTCTGAGAAGGAATCCCGCGCCATTTCTCTGGTCACTAGTCTCCGAAGAGTAATCTGAAATTCTTACGCGGGGCGCATGTAAAAGAAAGGGGCCGCTCTCCGTCTGTGTATACCGGGGGACGGTCAGATAGCGTTTGCAAAACTCCTCAAGTGGGTGTGCTATCCGCCTGGCGCGCAAACATCGGTTACAACCTGTTTTTGGCGTGCTATCTGTCTGCCCCCCCTATCAACGCGTCTTGAAACGGAGTCCCCCGCCGAGGACCTGTGCTATCTGTTTGTACCCCCCCTCCCCTCGGGGCATCGCGAAATTGCTCGGGTGCTCAACAAATTGCAGGTTCGCTCGACGGCCGCAAAAAGACCGCCCCAAGACCCCCCTCTCCCCCCCTCCTCTCTCTGCCCCCTTCCTCGTCCCCCCATGCCCCGAGCGCGCAATCGCGGCCCATATGTATGTGTTTATATATATATATATACATATATATATATATATATATACATCGGTCCAGCTGTCCGCGGCAAGTCCCGCCACCGTGCCTGCCCAGCACTTTTCCTGTTTGGCGACGGTTCGGATGGCGGTGACGACGATTGTGATACCCCCACCGCCCCCATCGCCCGCATGTGCTATCTGCCTGGCGGGGGTATCTTGGGCCTTCGCGGGACCATCTTGGGCCGTCTTGGAGCCGTCTGAAGCATACCGGGCCATCTCGGCAGCTTGGTGGCTCCCCGGGGCCGCCCTGAAGCCTGCGCGAGCCCCGGGACGGGGACGTCCAATACGAGCGGTATTGTCGCCTCAGAGCCGGCCACAGCCCTCATTACAGATGATGCTGCTGGTCGCGCACAAGCCCCATTCATGGATGGGATTGGCGCTCTCGCCCGAGCGCTGGCCACACTCCTGTCTGGGAGTCATGCTGCCGTCTGCGCGCTGGCCAAGTCCTTCATGGAACCCGGCACTCAATTCGCAGCGCCAGCCACGCCCCTCATTGACTATTGTGACGCCGCTCCACTCGCACGGTTCCTACAGTCCTCATGGGAAAGTGGTGCTCCGCCCAAGCGCCAGCCATATCCATTTCCAAGATTCGTGCTACCGCCCCAGCGCTGGCCGCATCCGTGTTTGAGATTGGTACTCTCGTTTGAGCCTCGGCTCATCCGTCTTTTGCGAGCGCCACCTCTGGCGCTAGACAACTGGCGACCGCAGCTGCCGTCCCTTCGCGCTGGGCGAGTGCCGAACCTGGCGTTCGGTTTGGACGAAACGCGTCGGGTCTGTTGCCAATCGGGCTGCGCCAGGTTAGCCCCCCAACGTCAGGTTCGGGAATGGGTCGCAGCAACACTGCGGCTACATCAATATGCTAACCGCAGAGTCAATAAAGCATGAAGCTGCAATGATCAAGATTAGAAGGCGAAGCACAGCGAGTCTTAAGCATTTGATTGTATGTATTTATGCATGTATGTGTATGTGTGTGTATGCATGTACGCATGTATGTATGTATGCCTGCCTGCCTGCCTGCCTGTCTGTCTGTCTGTCTGTCTGTCTGTATGTATGCATGCATGCATGTATGTATGGAGGCATGCATGCGTGTGCATGTATGTATGTATGTATGCAGTCATGCATGTATGTATGTTTGCATACATGTAGCGTGTTTGTAAGTATGTATGTATGTATGCATGTATGTGTGCATGTATGCATGCATGCATGCATGAATTCATATATGTATGTATATATGTATATATGTATGCATACATGCATGTATGCATGCATGCATGTAGACATGCATGCATGCATGTATGCATATATGCATGTATGTATGTATGCATGTATGCACGCATGCATGTATGTATGTATGTATGTATGTATGTATGTATGTATGTAGGTATGTAGGTATGTAGGTATGTAGGTATGTAGGTATGTAGGTATGCATGTATGTATGCATGCATGTATGATGTATGTATGTATGTATGTATGTATGTATGTATGTATGTATGTATGTATGTATGTATGTATGTATGTATGTATGTATACATACATGCATATATATATATATATATATATATATATATATATGTATGTCTGTACATGCTCACATATATACATACGCAAACTTTAGCTAGCTACAGACACATGTAGACAATAATTGGTGTACGTGTGCCCCGATCTATGTGATACGTTTGTTGCCCGCGGCATTTTTTTTTGAAGCGAATTGCCGGCGTCGATTCATGTTCGATGTATTATGCGGCCGGGTTTTGAGTTCTGTTTTCTCCAGCTGCTGGAAAGGTCAGAAAGGGCCTGGAGAAGGGCGTTCCCGAGTCCGAGTTGAACGACTACGAGTGGGGCTGTCCCGTCCACGGCGTGTGGAAGCCAGACTCGTTCGAGGCGGGCAAGGAGGACGGGCTGTGCCGTGAGGACAGGGACTGCCTCTGTGCCTCTCGCGGCTGGACCGATGGCTACAGCACGCTGGAGGGTGGCAAGGAGGGAAACGGGCACCCGACTCGAGCGGAAAGGTGACCCGCCCCCTCTACCTGCTCTCGTCCTCGTCTCTGTCCTTGCCCTGCCCCCTTCCCGAGCCCGTCCCCGTTCTCGTCTTCGTCCTCGTCCTCCCCTCGTCTTCACCCACGTCGTTCCCGCCCTTGTCTTCTGTCTCATTTTCTTGGTATTGTTTGTGTGATTTTTTTCAGCTACCTTGCACTCCTGACCCATCGTTTTCATGATACTCATTTTCATCTCTCTTGAGGAGAAGATAACCGGGAAGTTCGAATATCAGCTGGGAACGCCGGCTGGGGGCACATCCAAAAAGGATCTCACGTTGACACCGCATTACCCGATGCGGAAGATGCCAGACGAGCCGCTGTTTGACATTGCGAACCCGCACTCTGATTTCGGCAAGGTGAGCTGGCTACCGAGAGAGGAGTGGCTCAAGGAGACGGGGGACGCCAACTATAATTATCCTTCTACACCGATCCTGGCCAGGCAATTCCTCTGCTCAGCATCGGCGCACACGCCTTCCCAGCTTGATCAGCATGGCGTGTCCGCCAATCCTGGGCGCAAGACTGGCCCGGCCACGAGCGGTGCAAAATGCTTGGTTCCCCCCCCGAGGAGTTCAAGCAACATGCGCCACGGGTACAACTGGCCATGGACCAACTTCGAGATTGGATAGATGCCACCAACAAGAATAATGTGAAAAACAAAATCCCACCGGAAACGGGCAAGCCGATCCTTTGTATATCGACCCTAACACCCAAAGACGCGTTTGGTAAGCCGATCGGTGAGCCAGCGTTTTCATCGAGCGAGGTGCAGGACGTCGCAGGACGGCTGAGGCGTTTTCAATCTCTGATGCACGACTGCAAGAAGTTGAGAGACAACGTGGCCAAGCTTTCGCCCGGAACCATGTCCGACGACGTCAAGTTTGGCGAGGGTGGGAATTACCGCGGGAATCGACTGAATTGCTATAAGAAGGACGGCGAGCAGGAGTGTTTGCAGTTGAATTGCTATACAGATGATGTGGACATGGCGCTCCGTCATCGTGTCCGAGACTGGAAGTCGCAGGCTCGTGGGCTGATACCTGGCAAGCGTGCTCGGATGGAATCCGCTTCGGGGACCCTTCGTTGTCCTTCTAATCCTCGTTGTCGGCCCTCTCCCTCGTCCCCACCCAGTCTCCTCTGGCACTTCCCCACCCCCTGCCCCTCCCCTTTTCCTCCTCCCTCCCCCCCTTCCCCCCTCCCCCCCACTCGCCCCCCTTCCCCTCCACAATTCCACTTTATGACCACTGCTCTCCTCTCTCCCCTGACGCTGTCTTGAATGAAGACGGTCGGGGCCCTCTGCGCGTTTGGAGGTTGTCACACATTGCGACGTAGTTGTTTGTTTTGTTTCTTATGTTTGTTTGTTGTTTTTTGTTGTTCCGTGTTTTGTTTTTGGGCAGTCCGATGGTTTGCGGTCGTTCAAAATGGTACTCCCGCTGCAGCGTGGGCCATATGTTCGGATCGGCGCTTTGCTCCCGTCGTTCAGAATGGCGCTTTCGCCCTAGCGCGCGCCATGTAGCTGGATCCGAGCCCTTGTTTCATCCTTGCCGCCTCCCCGTTTCCCCCCTGCCCGCCGTTCCCTGGTCCTCCTGCTTCTCCAGTTCCTTCCCACTTCCGCTCCTGCGGCAGCTCTTCTTCCTCGTCCTCATTCCTCCTCCTCCTCATTCTGCTCATCCTCTTGCTTCACCGCCACCCCCTCTCCGTGGGCTGCTCATTTTTTCCCGACTGCGCATCGCACGACAGGGCTCCTCTCTGGAGTTCCAGGTCCGCCATGGCACGCGTCGGCGGCAGTGGGCATGCATGGGTGGGAGGGTTAGGACGCACCTAGCTTGCCGTGACCCCCGTCTCCCCTCCCCTCCGCCCCCCCCCCCTTCGCGCGCGCGGGAAGCCCTGCACTCCGCGTGCGGCAGCGCCGTGCAGGCACCCCCCTCCGGGCCAGGTCGGCTGGCTTCTCTCGCTCGACCGCCCCGACCCCAGCTCGTAGGATCTGTCCAGCGTTGCCTCGGTTCTTCGTGCGTTCGTCGGCTCTTCGTCGGCGGCTCGATTTGGGTTCCGAGTCCCCTTCCCCGCGCCTAGCTGCAGTCTGCGAGGTCGACGAGTGCGTCTCGGAGGAGCTGTACAAGTTGAAGATGAGAAAGAATGATGGGACCGAGAAGGCTCAGCCTCATCCTCGCGCTCCTGCCCTCGTCCTCCTGCTCTCGGCCCCTTCCTCCCCCTTCCCTCGTCCCTCCTCCTTCTCCTCCCCCGTCGTCGTTGTCTCCCCCCCCCGTCCTCGTCGTCCTCGTTGTTCTGTGTCCAGAGCGCGAAGCAGGCGGATGAGGAGCAGGGCCGTCAGCAGTGTCAGGGTCGGGCGAAGTGGAGGAGGATGAGGAGGAGAAGGAGGAGGAGGAGGAGGAGGAGGAGGAGAATGATGAGGACCAGTGTAAACCCAAGACGCATCAACGATGTTGCAATACACCCGCCCTCCAATCTCCCTCCCCATGGGTCCCTGCAAGAATTGGCTTTCATTGCGGGACGTGCCCCGTTGGAATACAACCGTTTGAGAATCCACCGTCGTGCCAACACACAATTCCTGGGACTTCAATGCCGCGAATCGACGGCCTTGGCACCTCTTCGGCAAGAGCGTCCGTTGCTGCCTTCCTCGCCAACTCGGCCCTTGCAAGGGCGATAGCCGTGGACTGCTCCTATGCCGCCACGGTGCTCCTCGAGCATCGCGACGAATGTACCGAGCTGTACTCAGATTCCGCACTGATGTTCTGAGCCCAAATTGCTTGAGATAATGAGTGGGGGAGGAGGAGGAGGAGGAGGAGGAGGAGGAGGAGGAGGAGGAGGAGTAGGACCAGTGTAAACGCAAGACTCATCAACGATCTTGCAATAAACCCTCCCTCCAAGTTCCCTCTGCATAGGCTCCCGCACGGATTCATTCACACTGAGGGAGATGTCCCGTTGGAAGACAACCGTTTGAGAATCCCGAATTGTGCCAAGACGCCATTTCTAGGGCTTCAACGCCGCGAGTCACCGTTTTTGTTGCGTCTTGACGATCCTGAACCGTGCGGGAACACCATTCTTGGGACTTCAACACCGCGATTGAACGTGATTGTTGCGCCCTGGCGATCCCACATCGTGCCAAAACATTACTTCTGCACACTCTGAACACGAATGTGCGCGGCGCTAAGGCGAGAGCAACATTTTGGCAACGGACCGCCCTCCACCCGTGAAACTCTTGCAAGCTTTTACCACGAGTGTGCGCGGCGCTAATGCGAGGGTTACGTGTTGAAAGGAGCCGTCCTCCACCTGTGAAGCCCTCGCCAACTTTTGAGATGAA